TTGTCTGCACTGAAATGAATCATGGGATATGTAGTTCCCGATGTTTATAAGCTGTTGCTACTATAAAAAAAAATGCATTTAAGCAAAGGAACTTGTAATTCGATATATTGTGACAGTCCACGAGATTATTGTGAGACTTCTGACGATACGATATAACGATTATTGTTATTGTTACATCCCTATTAGTTACAGCGCTACAGTTTTGTTGCTTGTTTAGAGGAAGAAGACTTGTTTATGCCACACATTTGACATAAATTTTACTGGTTTGATGTTTGTGTTTCATATGAACTTTGCACAAGAAGTGGTTTAACAAAGACTTTTAGTGTCACAGCCACGATTTAGCCTTTATTTTTTATTGAACTGCATTGGATCGATTTAAAATATATCATATCGAATCATATTTTTGGTGTATTTTACTAAATTATTGTGTTACAGTGCCAATTTTGACAAATTTATGCGACACATTTGATATTTTCACTGTTTTGATGTTTGAAATGTTTGTGTTTCATATGAACTTTGCACAAGAAGTGGTTTAACAAAGACTTTTAGTATCACAGCCATGATTTAACCTTTATTTTTATTGAACCGTATCGAACTGATTTGAAATATATCGTATCACATCATACTGTATCAAAATATGTGTCGTATCGTGGCCTGTGTATTGAAGTATGTATCGTATCGGCTAGGGATGTAACAATAACTAAAATATCGTGATATTGTACTGTCAAAGTTCTCACAATAATATCGTGGACCATCAAACAATATATCGAATCACAAGTCTCTTTGTTTAAATTAAGAGTTATGGTGCAGCAACAGATAAAAAATAAAGGGAACTACATAGACCATGATCCTTTGCTCCATTTCAGTGTAGATTACAAGAAGAAATAACAACTCTAAGCACTTTTAAGTCTTAGTTCTTTGGATTAAGGCATTTTAAGAGGAAAAAAAAGCGTATTAACAGTTTTAGCTGTTTAGCCTCCACAAAATATCGCAATAAATATCGTAAAGTGAGATGTAAATTGTGAAAATATCGTACAGAGACATTTGGATATTGTTACATTCCTAATCGTGAGCTTTCCCACGATATCGTACCGTGAGATTCATACCGTGACGATATCGTATCGTGAGACTCGGATATCGTTACACCACTAGTATCGGCGACTTCTAATCGATACCCAGTCCTAGAGAGAAATGACGTTTTTTTCAATACAAAGCGAACTGGAGTCGATGGAGCCGTAAGCGCGCCCGTACTCACAAAATCATCTTACAAAGCAACACATTTCGTTCTTTCTAACAGTATAAGGTCCAGTCAGTAATTTCTCAAATTTAACCCACGTACCTGAGGCAAAACACGGCGAATTCTTTCTATGAACGCGGCAAATTTTATCCAAACAACGGCCCGATTGCGTCAAAGCCATTCTTGACCTTAAAACACAAACAGAGTAACACAATGCTCTGAAAAACCATCACCTCATCTCGAGTCTTTGGTTCACCGTGCCGGGTTCTGTCTCAATGGTGGTTTGAGAAAGGCTAATGCATCAACTTAAGCTTGGAATTACAGAACGTGTTCGAGTCAAGTGCGATTGGTAAGTCAGGGTTTTTTTTTTTTAATTCCGATTCTGCTATGTTGGATAAATACCTCGAAACATAAAGAAAACGCAGCGAGGAGGTTTGAGCGCTGACAGCGGAGAGAATGCCCACAGGTTAGAGATCTTTAACAACGCAACAAAAGTGACAGGACGTGGGTGAGGAAAATTAATCCTATTGCCAGCGTGCCCTTGAGCCCAGCGTTTACTCTCAAGGTTTAAGCACGTCTAATTAGTGGCCGGCAGCGACAACAGCTCGCCGTCCACCGTCTTTTCTTAATTTCAGCGATAAACGTCTATAGTTAATGGCTGTAACATGCGCTGGAGTACAATTACAAGTGAAATCGGGATGCCGCCGAAGACGAATCGTGTCACAGAGAGGCATTTTTTTTGGGGGGGTTTCTCTTTTACCGTGGGGGTGTTGGACATGTATGTGCACGGAGGAGTGTTCGGCAGTTACCGTGGCGACGCGACGCGCACGTTCGCCAACACAACAACTACAACAACTCGCCTTTATGTAACAGATGAGCCTGCGTTTCTGTCAGTCATCATATCGTCTTTGCGCCGTTTTCCTTACGACCTCTTGTATATAACTGTGATAAAACTGGATTTATATTAAGATATTTCTGTTTTTTACGTACTTGTACTTACATTTATATAATTATACCACATTTGACACCAATCTCTTGCTTATTTTTGCTGCTTATAAGAAGCTTTTATTACCATTTTTATAGTTTTTGCTCTTTATTATTGTAATATTAAGACCTGTGAGCTACTGCGTCGCTAATAATTTCCCTTGTGGATCAATAAAGTCTAAGTCTAAAATGGATTTAAACACATTTTCAGGAGCCTGTGATCGATACAAGCTTTCATGGTCCTGTTTAGGAGTAGGGATACGCAAAAATATTGAAGAATCGATCTATCGTATCGTTTAATGTGATGACACGGTATCGATATATGATCAAGAGTATTTTTAGGTGTGTTTTACTAAATTACTTTGTGTAAGAGCTACAGTTGTGTTGACATTTCCACAGTTTTGAGTAAAATGGGTGTGTTTCATGGACTTAGTATCACAGTCATGATTTAGTCTTTGTTTTTCACTGAACCATATTGAATTAATTTGAAATATATTGTACGGAAACGTTTTGAAGTATCAAAAAACGTATCGTGGCCTATGTATCGAGGTATGTATCTTATAAGCAACTTCTTAATATACCCAGCCATATTTAGGAGTTTGATTTCCAACAAAAGAGGTAAGTTAAAAAAAGTAAAAATGCTGGATAATACTAACTAACTTACACAAATCAGCTCTCCTGTTGTAGTTCCTGCTAAGTCAGTTCTTTATGGACGGATTATGTTAAAATAAAGATCAGATCAAAACTGTAAATATAATAGTATGGTACAAACAATGTGTAAATCATGAATTCTATAGCAGCCTTAAGCAACAAACTCCTCCAAATGTAAGGTACCTTCCTAACCTTTTTTGTTTAGCTTTCTTTTTCATCATTATTTCAGAGATTTTTTTCAGTATTTACAACCAGCTCATTCTTTTTGATTTAGTAGGTCAATTCTAAAATGCCAGATTATGAGCCAACCGAACGTCTCATATTAAAGAACAAGTATTTTACTTCTATTCCAGGGGTGGGTTATTATTTTTTACATGGAGCCACATGAGAAACTGAAAATATTGTGGAGGGCCAGGTCAAAACACTTAACTAAATTCTACATCATATTAACTGTATTTCTTTATAAAAATTTTGACGAGCTGGTAAGAGTTTATGTTGTGATTAAGCAATGAAAAAGTGAGGCTACCTTACAAAAAACACCATCTAACATAAAAGCAATGCAGCTTTAGTCCATGCATGAGTTAAAATGATAAAATATCTTTATTTTGGAATTACAAATGAGTTTAAACGGGCCGGTCAGAGACAACCACAGGGCTGTTTGTGGCCCGGGAGCTGCACAATGCCCAGGTCTGGTCTATGGGGTATTAACTGCTAACGCGTAACATATTTAGATCACTGTATTACCTTTTATTGCTTTGAAAATGTTACGTTTGCTGAAAAAAACAACATATTGACATGTTTTAGTTTCATTTTTGATCATCCCCTCGTTCTGGGCCCTATCACAACACAATCAGCCTACATTTCGCTTATGAAACTACTGCGCATCAAGTTGTTGTGTACAGTTTTGGATCATATTTTTGTATATGTATGAAGATTGTCATGTGGGAGCTTGGGTGACGTAAACTTGTGGGCTGTGAATTCAAATAGCGCCCGGGAGACATCGCTAAAATACTGAAACGCGCGCGGATTACGTCTAAAACCTCTTCAGGCGTGTTTCTGACGAGGGAACGACATTAAAACATGCTAGAAAGCTCTGTAATACCTCCCTCTTTAAGTATGGCATGTCGTTTGAGTGTTGACACCTACACGATCACATGGTTTTCAGCGCTTAAACATGTGGGAATGCTAAAATTCTGGCCTACCTTTTTAACCGAAGCATGGGAATAACACAGGAGCCTATAAACAAAAGCAGTTTATATCTAATACCACAAACACAGTTATAACAGAACGAAAACAATGGTTACAGGGCCCCAAAACTTCACATTGCGCTAACCACTGTTTTAAAAGATAATAGCATAAACAAGACGCATTTGTCACTGTCAAACTCAAACTACAGTACATTCCAGCTCTGAAATCCCTTAAAAAACAGCTTACAGACAAATACTGCAGCCCTGACCTGATATGATAAACATAAAACTGCAAATACTTCTTACGAATGTTATTTCTGGTGACAGTGAGGAATCAAAACAAAACTCGGGCCAAAGGGGAGACAACATCGCGCCTTTGCATTTGTGGTACAGTCGTTAAAATGACAAGTCAAGTTGGGATAAAAATACAGTAAGAGGTGTTTTTAAAAGCTCCTCGGGTCAAATCAAACCCTGTCTGTTTCAAAACGTGGTGCGTCAGAGAGGGGCCTGACCTGGATCTTAATAATGACAACTCAAACCGTTCATTGTACTCTTTCTGTGCATATTATGTTACGCAAAGACTTAACCTATTCTCCTAACAACAGGCAAAGAATTACTGACATCTGCGCGATAGGCCGTCCAACCCCCTGGAGACATGAAACTCCCAAGAGTTTCAGTTCCACTAACGCACGCTTACTGTACCTGCAAATGACATTCTCACACTAATACTTTTGAATGTTCAATACTCAGGACAGGTTTTATTCCAAACATATGTACTAGATGTTATTTTTGCCAGACATAGTGTTTGAAATGCCAAGACTTTTGATCTGACTTGCCTCCCGCTGGTACAGACGGCTCCTGTTTTTACAGACGCTCGACTCTGCACAGTCGTGGCTTGTTTTAGGCGAGTATATTTTGCGTGACTTTAAAGTGTAACACACCTGAGAGCTTTATAAGCAGGTCGGTGGCCGTCTTGGTGCTGATGTCTGGGCTGAAGATGGAGGCGGTGTTCGGGGCGTTGGGGCTGGAGCGGACCCCCACAGTGACTCCAGGCAGGTCCAGGGAGTTGGCGCTGCTGCCCGGACGCTCTCGGCACAGGCTGAAGGGAGACAGCACAGACAGGTCACGCTCCTGGGGCTCCTCCTTGATGTGGAGATGATTGGAGGAGGTCTCCAGAGGAGGGGAGGGGTGAGTGTGGGTGTCGACGCGCAGTGGGGAGGCCTCGCTCCCCCTCAGCTCCCCCGGGGTGCTGTCACCCATCTGGGAGCCCTCCCCCTCCGTGTCCGTGGTCAGCTCCTCCTTCACCTTCACGTCTGTGCGGGGGAAGTGCTGGTGGCAGCGCATGTGGAGCTTCAGGCTGAAGTGTCTGGACGAGGTGAAGGGGCAAAGTTCACACTGAAACGTCTCCCCTCGGTCCTGGTGCTGATGGACCTGCGGCACAACAGCTTTGAATATTAGCTTCTGTTTTACAGAAAATTATTCAAGACAAAGAGGAGAGAAAAAAGTCTATTAAACGCCGCCATCAATTACTGCACAGACTCTCTAGACGGACAGCAGAGACCATGAGACGTGTGCAGAAAAATATGTTTTGATGGCCTTGACCTGCTCAGTTACAATGATCCAAATGGCACACTTCCTCATTCCTCAACAAGGAAGATCAACAAAGCCCTTTCTCTCCGAAAGTGCTTAAGCAGATCTCACGTAAACATCTTGAAACTATTATATTTTATATCTGTGTATTAAAATGATAAATACAAGTAAATAAATGTAAAGTATGTGAAGTCAAGGCTAAATGTTAGAGCAGAATGTGAACACACCCTAACCGTGTTAACCGAGACTCCGGTAGTGAAGTGAACAATGTAACAACGTAATCAGAAGAGACATTTCCTCCATGACTTGCAGCTAATGGCGTGTCCGTCTCACCTTCATGTGGGACTTGAGATTGTCTTTGCGAGCGCAGCGGAAGGGGCACAGGGGACACTGGTGGCTTTTCAAGCCTGTGTGGATAACCATGTGTCTCTTCCAGTAGCTCTTGCGCTTGATGACCAGACCACACACCGGACACTGGAACGGTTTGCCACCATCCTCCGGAGAGCCTTGGAGAGGAGGAGGTCAGAGTTATGACAGGGAGAAAGCATTTGAGGAGTGTCAGAAACCTCTCATCACTTTTATAGCACATGGTACAATCTGTTATTTTTCTCAAATACACCTTTTTGTAGGAAAAAAAAAAAAGAAAAATCAGCCCTTCAGATCTGCTCTGAAGTAACTCAGGGCTGCCTGAGATGTGTGTGAGCCAACTTGTGCACATCTAATAGCGGAGTTATCAGGGGAATTACCAGCTGCAAGCAATGAAACAATGGAAGTGAAGGCTCCAACATGTTTTAGTATCTCGATTATTGTTGTTGGCTTCATATCCGGCATCCATTACTGTTTAATTGGTCTTATTAGAAAGAGGCATGATTGCATTACAAATTCTACGCGGGCCTGTCAGGATGGCTTCATAAGTATTCTAGCGCCGTTCCTTGAAAAACATCTGGTAATCAGTGTTTGGTGAAATTACTGTGCTCAGCCATTCATTGACCTGAGGTGTAAAACCTCGAGACTGGCTATTTGCAACAATAAAGCGCCATCTGCGGCCCAACCTCTCGGAGCAGCGCCGGATCACAATACGAAAACGACTTGCACCGAGTGGGGAGTGGAGCGACACGAGTGAGAGAGAGAGAGAGAGAGAGAGAGAGGCTGTGCTTTAAAGGGCCTATATCAAACAAAATGGACTCTGTGAGCTTTAAAGGTGCATTGTGTAACTTTTCTCTACCTCCTGGTCTCTATGGAAATGTTACTGCTTTGTCTAGAATGTTCCACAGTACAAACTAAAAGCATCTATCACGAGACAGACAAGCGGGTTACAGCACTACGATACATTACGAGTCAGATCTGTGGAGCGTCGTCCCTATTCACAGAAGGATTTGTTGTATTTTTGAGCAATAAAAACACTCGGAATGAATGAATGCTAAAAATTTAAATGTTTAATGTTTTCCAAAGTGAGAAAAATGACCTGACGAAGGCTTTTTTGCCGAAAAATAAAAAAAATCTTTTGGACATCGGCGGATCTGAGTGGGCCGTTTATTCACTTTTATTTTACCGTTTCTTGCATTTGCACGTCTATCAAGAACTTTGGTGTGCGTTTTCTGGTGTGCGATATGTTTAATGTCATACCGTGGAACATTCCAGGCAAAGCAATAACATCTCCATGGAGACAAGCAGGCGACGGACACTTCACCAGAAAAGTTGCGCAGACATGTTATAATGTTGTTACTGCCTCAAAAACAGACCTGGACTTGTGTTTTGTTTCATTCACACATGTTTGAGTGTTAATTATTATTAATCTGTCTGTATCTCCAAAGCTCAAAATGCTTTCCTCCACCTTGTGATGTCATGAAGAGGTAGTTTTCAAGTTAAATTTTTAAGTTAGTTTTCAAGTTTCAAGGTATAGAGGGCTGGGTATCGTTAAGAAGTTGCCGATACGATACATATCTCGATACAGTGAGCTTTTGGTTTGATACGATATATTTAAAATCGATTTGATATAGTTCAATAAAAAAAAAAGGCTTAATCAAGACGGTGATACTAAAAGTCTTTGTTAAACCACTTCTTGTGCAAAGTTCATATGAAACACAAACATTTTCATCATCAAAACAGTGAAAATGTCAAATAATTTAGTAAAATATGCGAAAAAATACTCTTGGCGATATATCGATACAGCAGCTCACGATATCGATACTGTATCATCACATTAAACAACATGATATCATTCAAATGATTCTAGTGAAGATGTGTGGAGTTTAAAACATGCACAACGCACTTCCAGTATCACCACATGACATCACAAGGTGAAACAGAGCATTTTGAGTTTGAGAATATAGAATAGACAAAAATAAATAATAAAAATAGACAAAATATTTAATCGGAACTGCCTTTCGTTTAGATGGTGACGGTGTTTTTGGGGCTTAAAAACGCAAAAATCTGAAACCACCTCCAGAGTGGAATAAGTTGAATAAACTCCGCCGTAGTGTTTCCGTCTACACTGCCCAAGACGCAAAACTCTGGTCAGATCTGCTCACGTCACGTACAAGTTTACATCACATACATCACCACCTAGACGCCTGGCATGCATATCTAATCGAATTCCACACACTTTTGCGTCACCGTATGCACGCAGATTTGCTCCCGAAAAAAAAAACGCTTGTCTAAACGCAGAATAAAAAGTGAAAACAAGATCCCACTTTTGCGTCTTCTGTTCAGACCGTCCTCATATAAACGTAGCCTAAGAACTAAAACCTAAATATGCGTGGATTTGTGTGTTAAACATAGCCTGATTCATCAGCAGGTTTCACTTCGTGGAAACCGTCTGACATCGCAGCATTAGGATTCGTTCGCTCGACGGTGGGCGGGTACTTTTTGTAAGATTTAACCAATCGTTGCCATTTGGTCGTGACGTTTGTAATGCATCAAATCCCGTAGGAAGAAGGACAATAATGTCTTTCCCCTTGATAAAATTCACCAAAAATTATCTTTATTCCGGCTTTAAATCCTCGATCTCGAGAATTGTTGCCAACACAGAATGTATGATTGGCTGGTGCCCGAACTCGCACTTCCAGGTTTTTTGAGAACCGTCTAGTGTATTTTGATTCCTGACCTAGTCGCTTGAGAGAAACTAAATTACGCGGAGGCACTAGGTGGCGCCAACCTGGCTATGTTAAACCTGCGTGAATGAAGCAAAATACAACCCCAGGCATGTTTTTGATCAAGAAACAACATTATAACACAGATCAGAATACAGCGTGATACTGCTCCTTTAACCTAATTGTTGGCATCTCTGCTTCATGTTAGCGTAGCTCCATAACTATGCAGAGAGCCGCGGTGGAGGGAGTTTATAGTGGGCCCGCCGAGGGTTGATAATAAAACAACACATGACAGTCAATAATCAAGGTCACATTTTTCAGTCTGGCGACCAAACAACTACCTGGCTTTTTACAGCGCCGCTCGACCTTGACGGCTCGCGGGTTACAGCGGAGACCCTCTTTAGCATGCAGATCACACAATATTACATCGACTGGCTCATCTGTCTGGAGTCAATTTGATCCAGCCATTTTAGATTTGGCGAGGTTGAGACACAATCCCTGAAAAGTGCCCATCCATCTCTGGGAAAACATTCTGTTCTCCCTAAAGGCTACTTAGACAGAGGCGGTGCGCTCAGAGTGTGCAGAGGAGATGTGTGCGTGCGTGGTTTTTTGTGCGAGGAGATGTCTTTGTGTGTGTGCGTGTCTGTGTGCGATGCTTGGGGTTACACATGTCATACTGTACATTCACAGCTTAGTCTGGAAGTGCTCGGAGCTCAAGGAAGACTTTTGTGACTCCAGTGCTTTGAAAGAACTGTACGAGAGCCAACACTGCACTGATAAAATGTTAAAATGTTAAAAAGCTTAATTGTAAATCATTAAAATACAGTCATATGTGTTTTTGGATTTATTTAAAGTGGGACTACCGTATATTCCGGGCTATAGGGCGCACTCAAAAGCCTCCAACCACATCAAAAAACGACTGCGCGCCCCACAATCCAAACGCGAATCCACGAATCCACTTGGGTGTCCCAGCACGACTTCAGTAAACTACAAAGACGCACCACCCGCAGCGCACGCAAACACACACGGAGCAGACAGCGACCGCACTCATCACTCCACGCCGACGAGGAACGGAACGGAGGAACGAACCGAAAAAGCGAGCGCAATGTGCCGCTTCTAGACACGACTGAACAACTGAGTCACTGCGAACACGCCGACAATCCGTTGGTCCCAGACAGCACCTCCCTACACGCCACAACTGAACAAAGCCCAGAGTCACCGTGAACGCCACAAAGTCCCACTGACCCATCCAACTGTTGTGTTTCCTTTAAAGTCCGGTGCGATTTATTTGTGAAAAAAGTTCAAAAATAGACCATTTAATGAGAGTGCGTCTTATAATCCAGAGCGCCTAATAGCCTGGAAAATACGGTAAACAAATAAACTCCGTTGATAATCACATTTCAAATAGTCTGTTTATGTTCACGTCACAAACTTGCAATGATAACTTCCTTCGAGCTCTGTTTGCGCTAGTAAGTCTAACAAAATCTTGAAAAAATTAGAAAATGCCCCAGTTTTTTCATCTCCATGTCATTATAGCGTTCCGTTATGTTCAGCGAATCAACAGTTACAACCACACCTTAGTTTTCATCATTTCCCCACTGATGCACAACTCCAATCGCACTGGGTACATGCGATTAGAAAAGACGAGGCCCCAAATTCAAGATGATTCCAAACAGCACATATGAACGCAGTCTTCATTTTACTGCTTTTACTTCAGTCGTTCGGCGAGCCCAGTGTCGACAACTACACCGGAAGTTGTCATCGCATGTTTCCAAACGTCTTCCTGGTTTGTGACGTAAGTGTGAATAGAGCAAATAAATAGTTCATATAGTTTCATTCAAAATGCAAAACGTAAAACGCATGTGTTCGATTAGAAGAGTGGGGGTGGGATTAAATAAGTTTTCTTCTTCTTCCCACTCCTTTTTGGGCAAATTTTTTTGTTGTGGTTATTTTTATTTCTATTATGACTTCACTTATCTTATATGTTCTATTGTATAAAAGTGTCTTTCTTAAAATCTTAAAATAAATACATAAAAAAATAAAATAAAAATTGAGCTGCTAAACTGGAACTAAAGAAGAGAGTGAAAGGAGAAAAGGGGCGGAGTCTGGAGGTATAAGGAACAGTGTGATTGGTCAAACACTTCTAGCTCCGCCCCTGTGATAAAGGCAGGGCTGTGTGATGTCACCAACTACTGAAAACCGCAGGACACTGAAGCCAACACACACCAAGAATTAGTTTAGCAAATGTATTTAGTTTGAACTAGGGGTGTGCAAAAATATCAAAATATCTATATATATCGTATCGTTTAATGTGATGATACAGTATCGATATCGTGGGCTGCTGTATCGATATATCACCAAGAGTACTATATGGTATATTTTAGTAAATTATTTTGTTACAGCACTACAGTTTTGGAAAGGAAACTCATTTATGCGACACTAGGGATGTAACAATAATCGAAATATCGTGATATCGTATCGTCAAAGTTCTCACAACATATCGAATCACAAGTCAGTGACAAGAGTTATGGTGCAACAAAAGCTAATAAAAGACAGAGGGAACTACACAGACCATGATCCTTTGCTCCATTTCAGTGCAACTACAAGAAGAAACAACAGTTCTAAGCACTTATAAGTTCTTTGGATTACGTCTTGTCAAGGCATTTTAAGAGGAATTAGCCTCCACAAAATATCGCAATAAATATCGTACCGTGAAATGTATATTGTGAAAATATCGTACAGAGAGATTTGGATATACATCCCTAATCGTGAGCCTCCACACCATATCATGAACTTTCACACGATATCACATTAAATATCACACTATGAGGTTCATACCGTGATGAGACTTGGATATCGTTACACCTCTATGCGACACATTTGACATATTCACTGTTTTAATGTTTAAAACGGGCGTGTTTGTTATTAACTTGGCACAAAAAGTGGTTTAACAAAGACTTTTAGTATCACAGCCACGATTTAGCCTTTATTTTTAATTGAATTGCACTGAATAAATTTTAAATATATCGTATCGAATCATATTTTCGGTATATTTTACTAAATTATTGTGTTACAGCGCCAGTTTTGACACAAATTTATGCGACACATTTGATATTTTCACTGTTTTGATGATTAAAATGTTTGTGTTTCATATGAACTTTGCACAGGAAGTGGTTTAACAAAGACTTTTAGTATCACAGCCATGATTTTTAGCTATATTTTTTTATTGAACCATATCAAATCGATTTGAAATATATCGTATTGAATCAAAAGTGCACTGTATCGAGGGATGTATCGTATCGGCAGCTTCTTAATGATACACAGCCCTATTTTGTACTAAAATTCCCATATACACAGTGTTTTTTAGTGTTTAATTTCACTTTTATAGAACAGTTGATGTGATAAGAGGAAATATTTAGGTTATGTGTATTGTAACTAAACACTAGGCCGTCCAGAAACACACAGGATGAACATAAACGTATTCAAATTAACACTGTGAGGCACAACAAGAGCTCTGTCAGTTCCGTTTCCTTTAAACTTTAATGAAAAACAACTGACCAGGAGTTTGTGTATGCGCGCTTTGTTCCCACCGGGTTCTGGAAAAAAAGACGCCCTTTTGACTTCACAACCTTACCAGAGAACTCGGCTTATTTACATGATCAGGAATAGAGAAAATTTTGACAAAAGGTGATGAAACTAAAACGCATCCAGCAGCTACGTGAGCGATCGTCAGAATTTCTCCCGAGCACAGACTGTACATTTGTGCCGGGGTCATGTATCCGCTCGCACACTTCAGGAGAGCTCGCGTGGCCATTTGTGCAGCACACGGGATGAGTGTGCGGGAGAGACGGAGAGGAGGAGGAGGAGGAGGAAAGGAGGGAGAGACGGAGGGAGGAGAGAGAGAGGGAGGGAGAGAGAAAGTGTGTGAGATTATGCGTGTGTGTGTGATTGAGAGACAGACAGACAGAGACAGACAGAGACACGGAGAGAGAACATTTGTCAAAAAAAAAAAAGAGGGAGACGAAGAGAGAAAGAGAAAATGAGATAGAGAGAGAGGAGGAGACATTGAGAGAGAGAGAGAGACAGAGAGAGTGTGACTGAGAGGCAAAAAGAGAGTGTGTGTGAGAGAGAGAAAGAAAGAAAGAGAATGATACAGACAGAGAGAGGAGTCAAAGAGAGTGAAAGACAAAGACAGAGAGACAGAAAGAGAGAGACTAAAAGACAGAAAGAGAGAGACTGAGAGAGAAAGAGTGTGACCGAGAGGCACAAAGAGAGAGTGTGTGTGAGAGAGCGGAAAAAAAAAGAGAAAGATACAGAGACAGAGAGAGAAGGAGTCAAAGAGAGTGAGAGAGACAGACAAATAGAGACAGAAAGAGAGAGAGAAAGTCTATGATTGAGAGAGCGAGAGACAGACAGAGGGACAGAAAGAGAGAGAGAGAGAGAGTGTGACTGAGAGGCACAAAGAGAGAGAGTGTGTGAGAGAGAGCGAAAGAAAGAGAACGACACAGAGACAGAGAGAGAAGGAGTCAAAGAGAGAGCGAGAGATAGACAAAGAAAGAGAGAAAGAGAGAGAGAAAGTCTATGAGTGAGAGCGAGAGACAGAGACAGACAGAGAGAGAGAGTGACTGAGAGGCACAAAGAGAGAGAGAGAGTGTGTGAGAGAGAAAGAAAGAGAACGATAGAGAGACAGAGAGAAGGAGTCAAGAGAGGAGCGAGAGATAGACAAAGAAAGAGAAAGAGAGAGAGAAAGTCTATGAGTGAGAGCGAGAGACAGAGAGACAGACAGAGAGAGAGAGATGACTGAGAGCACAAAAGAGAGAGAGAGAGTGTGAGAGAGAAAGAAAGAGAATGATAGAGACAGAGAGAAGGAGTCAAAGAGAGTGAGAGACAGACAAAGACAAAGACAGAGAGAGGGAAAGAAAGAGAGAGACAAAGTCTGTGGGTGAGAGAGAGAGAGACAGAGACAGACAGAGAGACAGAAAGAGAAAGGGAGACAGAGAGAGAGAGAGTGACTGAGAGGCACAAAGAGAGTGTGTGTGTGTGAGAGAGAAAGAAAGAGAACGATATATATATAAATAGAGAGAGAGCGTGTGAGTGAATGAGAGACACAAATAGAGTGAGAGAGAGAGAGAAGAAGTGAAAGAAAGAGAGAGAGAGAGAGAGACACAGGTAGACAGCGACAGAGAGAGGGGAAAGAGAGGGAGAGAGAAAGTGTGTGATTGAGAGAAAGCCAGAGCAGAGACAGAGAGAGAGAGAGAGAGAGAGAGAGAGAGAGCAACAGAGAGAGAAGGAGCTAAAGAGAAAGCGAGAGACAGACAGAGAGAGTGAAAGAAAGAGAGAGAGAGAGAGAAAGAAAGAGAGAGAGAGAGGGCAAAGTGTGTGTGTGAGAGAGAGAGAGACAGAGATAGAAAGAGAGAGCGCGACAGAGAGAGTGAGTGAGAGAGAGAGACGGCGAGGGTGATAGAGAGAGAGAGAGAGAAGGTATGAAAAAGAGAGAGGGAGAGGCAGACGATAGAGATAGAGAGGAAAAGAAAGAGAGAGAAAGTGTGTGCGCAGGAGAGACAGAGAGAGTGACACAGAGAGACGGAGAAACAGAGAAAGAGGCATGAGAGAGAGAGAGAGAGAGAGACAGAAAAACAGAGACACAAAGAGAGAGATGGAAAGAGTGAGAGTGTAAGTGAGAGAGAGACACACACACACACACAGGGAAAGAGACAGAGAGAGCGAGGCACAGAAAGAGAGAGACGCATAAAGAAAAACAGAGAGAGAAAGAGTGTAAAGGAGAGAGAGAGAGAGTGGCCACGCATCTGTATCCAGTCAGCGGAAAGTCTGATGTGTTTGGCCTTAAGTCTGTGCTGCTGATCAGTGCACAGGGCTCGGGCGGGGGGGGGGGGGGTCGGAGCAGGAGGAGGCTGTGAGATGGATATGGACTCCAGGGCTCCCCGCTGAGCCGAGCGCACACTGACGGCCCCCTTTTGGCAGCGCGCACGTCCCGGCACAAACGAGCTGGTCTGGGAAGGCTGCGAGGTCTCAGGCGGAACCCCCCGTGGAGCCCGCAGACCATTTCCCAGACTACAAGGCCAGCCAGGGCTGTTTTCTCTCAGCTGTGCCTCTCAATGCTCGGCTGACAGTTAAGCTGATGCTACACTACTTTCACTTCAGTGCCGCTGAGGTGAGAAGGAAGCCATTACAAACTGGAGAAAACATGTCATGGAAGTCCTGAATGCTTCGCTTTTTGTGGTGACAAGTAAATCTGCCCCTGTTTCTGTGGTGTAAGCAAAAAGATGGATTCTGCTGCAATTTGATTAGGACCGAGCTTTAATACAGTTATAACAGGCACACTGGCTCTCCTCTAACAACAGCATGAGCGGTAAAAGGGAGAAAAGTTTAAAAAGTTATACCTGGTGTATAGTGTGAAAAACTGTGTCCACTGAGACTGTGGCAAGTGCAGCGCTGAGAAGTGAACTGAACCATGTCACGCCAAATGAAAGATTCAACCATTTTCAATGTGATGTGCACTTCTATTACACACAGACTTCCTGTTCTTCTCAGAGTGTGTTGGGTGTGTTTTATGTGTGTTGTACGTGTGTATGTGTGTGTGTTGTATGTATATGGTGTATGTCCATTATACCTGCTTGGCTGTTGGGCTTGGCCCTGCCCTTGGGGGTGGAGGGCAGCAGCAGCTCGAGGCCTGCGGTGGGTGTAGTTGGCGTAGGTGCCTTCTGGTTTTTCTCCAGCAGGGGCTTGACGTCCTCTTGGAGGACTGTGGACGTGCTTAAGGGGGAGCCGTCCTTCTTCTCTACGAGCAGGTTTCCCGCTGCTCTGGCTGCCACCTCTTTGAGCAGGGCAGCAGAGGAGGTCATGGACACCAGAGAGAGGAAGGAGCTGGCTGGGGACTGGTGCTCAGAGGCAGCACTGGTCGTGGAGGCCTGGTTTCGCTCGCTGACTTTCTTGGAAAGTGCGGCGAGAGTGGAGCTGGCCGACTGAGGGCTGAAGGGAGAGTTGAAGGCATCGAAGCGTACCATGTCATCTGTTCTCCCCGCGCTCCCCAGAGCGGGCACCACAGAGGAGGTGGATGAAGAGGAGGAGGAGGTGGAGGAGGCCACAGCGCTCTTGTCCTGCAGAACAGCGTTGGCTGCCGCTTTGAGCTTCTGTATGGCGGAGTCCGGAGACAGGCTGGAGCCACAGGGCGTGGAGCAGCTGGCTGGGGGCCACTTATCGGTGACCCCTGCCCAAACAAAGCCACCGCCATTGCTGGGGGAGTTAAAAGGGTCCAAGGGCTCCTGCTTGATGTTGGTAACTGAGGGTGCCAAGGAGGCGGGCGACGCTGAGCCACTGTTGTTATTTGCAAGTTTTCGGGCAAGAGCACTTAGCTGCTGGGCGTGGTGTGAGGAGGGGGACAGGGTGAGGGGTGGGGCCAGGCCGATGGGAGGAGACTCCCCTCGAGAGGTGCGCCCCAGTAAATCAGAAGAGTCCAGTTTGAGCGAGCCGGCCTCTAGGAGGCGCCGCAGGTTACTGCTGAGAGGTTTGCCCAGAGCTCGCGATGCCGCCTCTCCGTACAGAGACGACACCACAGACGACAGAGTGTCCTGGGCAGAGAACACGCCTCCGTCCAGCCCCAGCAGCTCCAGAGAGGCGCGGTGCACTGGCGTGGAGCTGCCCAGAGAGCTGTCTGCTCCACAGGTGTCGTGGTCTGTGGAGCCAGCGCTGGCTCCGGGCCCCTCCTCTGGAGACGAGCCCCGGGCACACAGCACCTCGTCCTGAGTGTCTCCATACGACGACTCAGAGCGAGTGTCAGAGGCATTCCCAAACCAGCCCTCCTCCTCCACGGGACCACTGTCCGGCCCTCCCTCTTCATGACCGTCCAAATCTGTAAACAGAGACAGGAACACAGTTAGTACTTTTACTCTCTCTTTTTGAAACATGACTGTTAGATTAGCAGTCTGTAGAAATGTGCCCACAGCACAGGAGAGACTGACTGTACCATACTTGGAGCTGTATTTCTGTGTAAGTGTTGAGTTCCTCTGGACAGAGGACACTGATAGTCCTGATACGAGAGCCTCAGAGCACAGAACCACACTGTCACCTCAGGCCTGACCGAAACACACAAAGAACTACTTTCTTATTATTTACATAGTGTATCCCTGTTGAAGTCATTTAGATTTTCAGCCTTTTTAAAATATATTTTTCCCACCCTTGGTCTGGAAGAGCCTAGTAAAGGGGTTACCATGACAACAGGTCCTTCTGGGAGGCTAGACAGCAAAGATTAGGGTAATGGAGGTTACAGAACTAGATTAATATTCATGAGCCTGCGGATACCACCGGGGAGCCAATAAGGATAGGGTTAAGGTCACCAAGGGTCATTAATATACACTTCATGTATCAATATTCATAAGCAAAACATTACAGCTTGCCAGACAAGGGCGAACAAAGAAAAGTGAATATTCCTGATACATATTAACCAACCTCCATAAGAACATGTCAAAAGGACCAACAGTGGGCAAAACAAAATGTCAAAACCGTCTTTTTTCCTCTCTCTCTGTGGCCCACAGTACATATCCTCGCAAAAGATCAGACAAATGAAAGTTGGCTGAAAATTCTGAGAAAAGTGGGCATGCATACAAGTTGAAAATAACAATAACAACTAAAAACTAAATAGTTTATAACTTTCTGCACTTCACTGCAGTGAGTATACACACACACCGAGGCTGTGCACACCCTTTGTGACCCTGACAGAGGCCTGGTGGGTCGCGCTCTGTTTACAGGCCAGGGCCGAGCGGTTGCTTAGCAACCCAGCCCAGCAACCTGTTGGGATCATTACAGTTACTGACATCTGGCCAGCGAGCCTCACCGTGGTCCACCAAGGTGACCACAATCACTGACAGTGTGAGTGCTCCTCTCCTGCGGCACATATCACACACATCACACAGAGCGTCAGAGCTACATGAGAGAGGCCGAGTGCAGAGCCAAGAGCCCAGACACAAGGCCCTGTGTCCAGCACACCTCACAGCAGCACGCACACACAGGGGCTTCTGGGGGCAAAAACAAGTCAGGAAAAGTCATTATGCAATGTAAAATGAGAGCACAGACCTGTGCAAGCTGTATGTAGAAGAAACAAACTGAACATACACATGTTTATCTCAGGTCATGTCACGCTGACAGCACTATAAATTACTGTAAGTTTTAGGCATGATGTGCCAGGCACTTTGGCACCTGAGCAGGGTTAAGAGCCCTGAGCGGAGGGGGAGGGGCTGGGCCTGTGAGTCATGCAGGGCAGGGCCTGACCCATTTCCATGTGACATGCGAAAAGCAGCAAGAGCCACTAATGGCCCTAATGTGGTTAGAGGGAAATCACTAGATTTCTGACCTGAGGTCTCAGGTTTGAGGTTGAACTCTGCTGTGTCCTGCGTTCCCCTCTAAGCCTGTGTGTTACAGAAGACTACTCCTGCTGAACCTTTGGTTACAGAACACTGCACCAGGCTCTGATGCCCCTGTGGCACAATGACATTTCCCAAGGTCATGGTCTCATGGCCAAACTCTAAGAGACCTTCATCCAGGTTGGACTCAGTAGTGGTGTTTAAGAGCAGCTCCTGTGAAAGCAGCGAGGACAGTTCATTCAGAAGTCGCTCCTCGCTGTAGGATCGTACACACATTGTGCCTGTTTGCCTGTGGTACAGTGGGGGCTCTGCGACACTCACAGCCCCCCTCTCCCTCCGAGCGATGGAGGCACGAACATGCGACCAGCGGCTGCCACTGAAGGGGAACCATTTAGCGGTGTAATGGCGGGGATGACTTGCATGTTGAGACAAACAGCTGCAGGGTGCTCAGCAGTCTGGATCTGTTATCACTCACACACCAGTGATTCACTGGTGCAGCCTTTTCTCCCCGAGGTACAAAGATCTATATGTCACTATGCACTGATGAAAAAAAAAATCACATTTTGTCAACTTAGTGGATGTAACATGTGCTCCTACTGGATTAAGACAGCACTGCAAGCCCAGCTCAAAATAAAGCTCCAGGACCTCCAGAATATTTGGACTGAACTACACATTTAAACTCTGCATACAGTGAAAGATACTACAGCCAGCTCCAGGATCTCTAGATTTAACTGACCCGTAGTAACACCATTTCAGGGACAGAATTCATGAATAAGGCTGTGTGGCTGGATTTCAGTGGTAAATATTTATCTCATACATCTTTGTGTAAAATGTTTTTATAAAAGGTATACCAAACTAGTTTTAGCCATAGGTTATGAACTGAAAATCCATAGTGCGAGGCTCAATCTGCTTTATGAATTATGAGTGGACAGTAAGTAACACTGTAGCCTTGAGAAATGCAGAAATTAATCTCCACAGTAAGATACTGAAGCATAGCACAGCTGGACTCACTGACAAACATAAACAATGGCCTAGACAGACTCCCATAAAAACCGCGCACGTACTTAATTTTAACTTAATTTATTATCACCCCTGACTTCACTCCTCACAAGGCGAACAGAAACAATCACGCCGACTGTAGAGCTGCGTCCCGCGTGCAGCTTTAATCGGAATATGCAGGTAACGCTAAAAATAGTCACAGGGCAGTGGAAGAGAAGCATTAAGCGGAGTTACTTTTTTTGTTTTACCTCACTCTCATCTCTCATTTGTGAACTTGGCACAAGCGCCGTGGCCTTTTCCAGCTTAGACTGACTTATGGCCGTGCTAAAGCTTGAAGCCAGATCCAGATTTTTGGCCAACGTCATCAGAGGCAGAACGGAGCAGGTTAGAGAACGGAGAGGAGGGGAGAGGGACCGGAGTAAAAGGTAGGTCACAGGGTCACTCGGCGCATGACTCGTGCTGGCTGCTGACTCCCATATTCCCCCTTTTCCGCCTCGCTCTCCAAACGCACACACAAAGCTATTCTGTGACTTAGCCAGGCATGAAAATTGGCCTCGGTGACCCCGGGCCGGAGCGGGAGTTAGCGGAGGGATGAGGGGGAGACGGTCGACGGAGGAAGGAAGAGATAGAGGGACGGTTAAGGAGTGGGGGGGGGGGGGGGCTGCTGGCTGGGCGGGAACGAGGGGGGAAAGAGAGGAAGCCATTAGCCGATTAGGGCCAAGACGAAGGTGCATCAATACTGCGCCGATGTCAAAGGGAGAGTCATGGCCATGAGCTAATATAGCAATGAGAGAGAGGGAGGAAGAGGAGGACGGGAGCGCGAGCCAAACACGGAGCGCCGTCGGGTCAGACAATCAGTAAAACACGGCGATCGCCCCAACGCCGGGGCACGGAAAAGTGTGGCGACATAAAAAGGCGGCGCAGACCGAAGCCATCGCCGGGATGATTAGTGCTCGGCGTGTCCCGCTGCGACGACGAGGAGGAGGACGGAGGACGGAGAGAGAGGAGGACGTGGACGGGGTTAAGGAGGGAGGGCAAAGGGTGAGGGGATAAGAGAGAGAGAGAGAGAAAAAAGAAGAAGAGAGGGGAGGAGTGGGAAAGAGAGAGGAAAATAGAGGGAAAAGGAAAGAGAGAGGGGGACAGAGAGATGAAGAGACTGAAGAGAGAGACACATAAATAGAAAGAAAGAGAGAGAAAGAGACAGAGAAAGAGAGAAATAAAAGATAGAGAAAGAGAGACACAGAGAAAGAGAGAAATAGAGACAGAGAAAGACACAGAGACAGAGAGAAAGAGACAGAAAAAGAGCGACACATGAACAGAGAGAAAGAGAAAGAGAGAAATATAGAGACAGAGAAAGATACACAGAGACAGAGAGAAAGAAAGAGACAGAAAGAAAGAGACACATAGACAGAGAGAAAGGGAGAGATGTAGAGACAGAGACACACAAAGACAGAGAGAAAGAAAGACACAGAGAGACACAGAGAGATACAGAAACAGAGAGATGCGCAGACAGAGAAAGAAAGAGACAGAGAGAAAGAAACAGAGACACATGAACAGAGAGAAAGAGAGAGACACACAGAAAGACACATAGAAAGAGAGACACATGAAAGAAAGATAGAGAAAGAGAGACACAGAGAGAAAGAGAAATATAGAGAGAAAGAAAGACACACAGAGACAGAGAGAAAGAAAGCGACAGAGACAGAGAGACACAGAGATGGAGAGAAAGAAAGACAGAGCGGCACAGAGAAAGAGAGAGACATATGAACAGAGGAAGACACAGAGACATAAGAAAAAGAGAGACAGAGAAAGAGAGAGAAACAGAGAGACAAAGAGACACACACAGAGAAAGGGAGAGAAAGACTGACACAGAAAGAGACACAGAGACAGAAAGAAAGAGAGATGCAGAGAAAGAGAAACACAGGGATAGAGAGAAAGAGAAGGACAGAGAAAGAGACAGACGGAGAGAGAGAGAGAGAGAGACAGAGAAAGACTGACACAGAGAAAGAGAGAGACACACACAGAGGGAGAAAGAAATATACAGAAACAGAGAGACACACACAGAGATAAAGAGAAAGAGAGAGAAAGAAATATACAGACACAGAGAGACACACAGAGATAAAGAGAGAGAAAGACAGATACAGAAACCGAAAGAGAGACGCAGAGAGAGACACACACAGAGAGTGAAAGAGAGGGAGAAAGAGAGAGACACACATACACAGAGACAGAGAGAAAGAAAGACTGACAGAGAGACAGAGACAGAAAGAGAGAAATAGAAAGACACCGGAACAGAGAGAAAGAGAGAGGGATAGAAAGACATGAAAAGAGAAATAGACAGACAGAGAGACAGAGAGAGAAAGTGAAAGAGCCAGAGCAGGAAAGAGAGCGAGGGAACATGGATGTAGTGCATAAGAAGCTGTGGTGGTAATTAAGTGTCCGGCGGAGCTCTGGTGGGGGTTGCCACGGCCGCAGGCTATGCTAATGAGCACGGCCGGCG